TTTACAGAACTTGTGTGTATGGGGATAGTTATCCAAAATCTTCGTTTTTCATAAATCAATAACAATCACTAAAAAACTGAAGGGGGCCCAAAACTTCCAGAGGGGCCCCTTGAGAAAACTTTGCACCCCCATCCAAAATTACCTTCCGCCGCCACTGGAGTCTTAGCCTGTTGTCCGTCCCGATCAATGTCGCTTCCGTCGCCGCCTCGGTCACGATCGGCGGAACGTCGCGGCCGACGCGCGCGACGGAGGAGCATGGTGCGGCCATTCGGCACTAGGTCAGAGCTGGGATAGGGGTGGGAATCGAGGTCCATGGGAAGGGAAGGAGGGATCGAAATGAGCCACTAGGTCAGAGCCCGGGAGTTGGGAATCGAGGTCCATGGGGAAGGAAGGAGGAATCGAAATGAGCCACTAGGCCAGAGCTCGGAGAGAGGGGTTGGGGATCGAGGTCTATGGGGAAGGATGGAATGGATCAAATCGAGCCACACTGGGTCAGAGCCAATAAGAAGGCTGCGAGTTGCGACCGAGGAGGCTCATGGGAAAGGGAAGGGATGGGCTGGACACTGGACAGTTATACCATGGGTCAGTGACAGGTGGTCACCTCACCAGTGGGGGGGTAAGAATGGAGGGAATGAGAACCAGGCAGAGGCACTGGATCAGAGCCGGAAAGCCATGGAGGTGGCCCTGGTGAGATGAGAGGGGATGGGAGCTGAACAGAGCCACTGGGTCTGAGACTCTGGATTTGTATGAAAATGGAACGGCATCGGAGCGGAGCTCTGGGCTCCGATTTGGGTCGGACCATGCAGCCATTTGCCTCAGATGACGGTTGCAAATGAGAACAGTTGACTGGAACGACGTCGGAGCGAGGTTCGGACCCCAGGCGACGGAAGACAGCGGAATCTTCCGCGCGGGACGGGGCTAACGGGAGGCCGGGAGGGACTGGACGCGGCCGACGGGAGGCCGGGAGGGACTGGACTGGGCCGGCGGGAGGCCGACGGGAAGAACTGGTCTGGGTCGACGGGAGGGTGGGAGGGCGGAAAGTTTGTTAGTGTTTGCAGCTGTCGGTTGGCAGCAGTAACCGACCCAGCTGGTACCGACTCAGCTGCTACCGACCCAGCAGCTACCCACCCGACGGCCACCTACCCAGCAGCTGTTGGTTGGCAGCTGTCGGCCCAGTAGCTGTCGGTGGGGCAGCCGACTGTCAGCCGGCAGCAGCTGTCGCCCAGCAGCAGCAGCCGTCGTCCGGCAGCCGGCCGCGGGGCAGCCGGCCGCCACGCCCCGCCGCTCCTGGGAGGGACGGCTGCCGTCGGTCCGTGCGGCGTGCCGTGCGCTGCCGGTCGTCGGTGATGGAGCTGTCTCCTCAGGGACGGCTGACCGGAGCTGTGATGGAGCTGCCCCGCGCCGGCCCGCGCCTCCTGCGCCACCGCGACCCGTCCCGCTGCCGTCCCGCCCGCCGCCCGCCGCCCGCCGCACGGCAGACAGAGCCCGCTCCGGGGCGAGCGATGACGAGCAAGGACGGCAGAGGAAGGAGGGAGAAATGTTGCGAACCGAAGGAGAGGATAGAGTGCATAGAAAGGGGGTAAACTGAGGCAGAGAGTGGGGTATACGGAGATGAAGGCTGGGTAAGCTGAGGCAGGCGATGGTGTGAGCTGAGGAAGAACATGGGGTAATATGAGGCAGAGCGTGGGGTAATATGAGGCAAAATGTGGAATAGGCTGGGTGGAAGATGAGTGGCATATAAAGATGCTATAGCATTGGGATGGCCGATTGAGGTAGAGCTACGGCAGATGACGGCTGACTCAGGTAGAGGTTAGAACGGAGGCCGGACGACTGTGATGGAGACCGCGCCGCCAGAGGACAGTCAGCTGGGACGACCGGTCCGAGCTGTGCGCGGCTGCAGCACCGGGTCTGAGCCCCCCCCCCCCCCCCCCCCCCCACCGGGAGGGCGGCGCGTCCCAGCGGGAGTCCTCGAGCACCGCACTCCTGATGGGGATCCGATGTGGCCCAGAAATGATACTGATGTGGTCACGGCAATGCCGGAACGGAAATTAATGCCACCAGGAAATGTGTTACTGCTCTACGGGGGTTAGGCCTGTATTTAGCAGTGAATCTAACAGTATCAAAAGTGCTGTTATAGTTTTATTGCTGATAAATTGAAGAATTTACTGATGTTTACATTGAGGTATTTACACACTGCGTCATACATATGTGGCATGTGCAATGTGCATAGCTTTTTTCAACAAAATGATCTACGTAGCAAAAAGAATGAGAATGGCCGGTTTTCAACTGCGTTTTGTGCAGCATTGTAATACTCTTACCCGAAACATATATTTTAAACCCACAAATAAAATTAACAATAATCTCACATCAGCACACTATACCAGTCTATAGCCAGACCTGTTTAAAATTCTGTTAAAATATACGCCAGAAGTTAATCTTTTCATCAGTGACTGAAAAGTCTGGGTATCTATGGCGGGTTCTGTGCCCCGGCTGAGCTATTTCTAGCATAACCCTGACGTGCATCCGTAGATAGCTCCGGGTTCTGTATTACGCCAGCCTTTACACACTCCGTGGGCTCAGCCCAGGTAAGACCGTATATTTAGCAGTTGGCTCGGATGGATCTGATCCACGGTGATCGATTACGGTGCTAAAGGGAGCCTAGAAGTTACTAACCTAACGACTGCCGACCAGCAGTTTCGTGCATTATTTCATTTCTTTTATTGGAATGTAAGGTCACATACATCAGCCCCAACAACAGGGTTCGGCAACGGCAAGATATGGACAATGAAGGCATTGGTTGCAATATGTTTGTCGGTCAGTCTCCAGGTCCATGTTCACTCTCGTCATACCTGACACCAATCAGTACAAAAAGTGACTCGTGCGCTATCATCCGCTCTCCGCTGTCAAGAGGCGTCTGCTGACACGCTAGCACCTGTTGTCGACCGTTTCCGTCTGCCAGCGTCCGTCTCCGCCTGGGCAGCGCCCATACGCCTGTCGCGGGAACGTTTACCCCCGCCAGCAGCCGCGCCTAAAACAACAGCTGACGCGCAATATCTGCGCGCCCGATCGCCGCTCGATATTCAAAGTGGACACGCGCCCATTGTTGTCACGCAATATCTCGGCAGGAAAGGCAGCGTTGCCGTTTATGCAAGCAGATGTTTGCTTTGGCCGTAAAAATATAGCAGAAGCGACGCCTTGAGTGAGCATCAAATTTCAATATATTGTGCTTGGAGCCTAATGTATTTTTCAAAGTATGCTAATCATGACGAAGACGCTTTTTGTTTTGCTGAAACTACGCAAGTGATGCTTGATACTCAACGGATGAGGGAAATTCTGGAGTTTTAGAACACACATCTCGTATTCTTTGCCATTATGTATTTCTTGCAAATGCCAAGTGGATTATTCTACAGTGTTGTCGGTACTTCATCTGACTTTTCGCTGTCAACAGACAACCCTTATTCAGGGCGTAAATAGGATGGAGAAAAGCTTTGCACATCGTTCTGGTAGGTATTTACTTTTTACACATTAACTGTGACTGGGTCCGTCACCACAATAACGCAGCGCTCAGAGGAGAGATCTCACAGCAGTGTTCTCACTACCGTCTCCGACTTCAGACGGCTGCTCTTGTCAGCTCATTTTACACGGCTCTGGTTGTCTGCTCTGTCCTCGCTGCAGACGGTCTCTCATGGTGAGCGGCCGCCACCGAGCTCCAGAGAACAGACGCGGTACGGGTCGGTGAGCGACTCCCAGCGGCGGCCACCCGGCCGGGTCGGACTCGCTACCCGCTAATGAACCCCGACGAGGCAATCACGCGCCAGAGTCAGACGCCGCGGACGCACTTGGTCACCTGAGGGGCAGTCGCTGCGCAGCCGAGCGGAAGGAGGACACTGCTCCGAGCGGCGCGGAGATGTCGCCAGGGCGTGCTACGCTGTGTTCATACGCTCCATGTGCTCTCGTGTGCTCCTTAGCTCATCAGCTTCCTTGATCGCCATGACACCGGCAATGCATGTGATTCCCTGCGCGCTGCGCAGCCCGGCCACTCACCGCTCACTCGCTGTCAGGTTGAAGGGCTAGCGGGCGAGCTGATTCGTCCCGTGTTCCAATTGCCGCGCCTGATCTCGTTAGTGTGGAGCGGCGGCGACTGAAGCAGGCCGACGGTGCTCGCTCAGACACAGCGAACTGAACACAGCGTACCGGCGGACCGGCCAACTGTCGTGGGACCGAAAACTTCCACGGGCTCGGCGAATCGCTGATTGAGCTGATAATGGCAAACATTGGACGCTCAATAGACGGGACAATACGGACCTAGCGCTAATGGATTATTCCTGGTAATTACCTACCGGTCCGCTCTTCTCGTGCCGATTGAAAAAGATGGAAAACTTAATGAGTTCAGGCTCACGCATGGGCTACTTTTTTGCTTGAAAAGACATAAACGTCGTTAAAAGAGCATTATACGAGTACATTTTACTTGGTCATCATTTTTCTCTATTCTTCCTAGAAAAAAGCCTTATGGACAAGATTGCTAATCTTCCCCGGTCGTATGTAGCTTTTGTAATGTGCGTGATATTTACTGATGATGTCATTTCTCGCCGATTTCTCAAGACCAAGAAAAGGCCACTCATAGTCAGAGGTCGCAATCCACATCAATCCTTATTTAAACCATTAATATGAAATATGAGAGCTGGGACTGCTGCCCAAGACTACGTCCCTTACGATGGCAAACGACCAATGTATGAATAATTCTGCTCACGATCGCGCCACATTTACGAATTGCTGCATGTTCTCATTTAGAGCCGGACATATTCTCGCTTTATATGAATAAGTAGTAGAATATAATTAGGCTTAATAAATACTTTTATCACCTAGTGTGTGCTTACGCACATCCTAAGTAGTCTGCTGTCCTTCTTTCACTACGTTGGTTGATGCGTAATGACATGCTTGCCGTCACACAGCATACCTGCACTGCAGTGTGTGACCTCTCTCCGCTCTCTCTTCGGCAGGTTTTCTGAACCCGAGCGTGGGCCCCACGCAGCAGGTGACCAACAACGGCCTGCTGGACCAGATCGCTGCGCTGCACTGGATCCAGCAGAATGTGGAGGCGTTCGGCGGTGACCCGGACAAGGTCACCCTGTTTGGCCACGGCTCCGGAGCAGCCTGCATCAGCTTTCTGCTCAACTCACCGGCGGCCGTCACTGGTGAGAAATGAGCGGCCAGGTGAGAATGGACAGTGTGTGTGACAGGTGAGAAGTTGGGGAACAGATGAGAATGTAGGGGACAAGTGTGTGTGTGGCGAAGACTAGTGAGTTCAGTAATAGGGAAGGTCGGTGAGGAGTGGCAGAAGAGGTGATTATGGTAGATAATATTTTTTTTTTTGAAGTGGTGGGAGGTGAGAAATGGTGGAATATTGGTGGTAAGTGATTGCAGAAAAGTAAAAAGAGGTAGAAAAACAGGTCAAGATGGAGGGAGACGAAAATAGTGAAATAAGCCTATCAAAATGAGACAAACAGATGAGAACGAGTGAGAACTGATGGATGAGAACGAACAAGTGAGGAACGTGAGGAGGTTTGTGAAAACCAGGGGGCGTAGTTGAGACGCTAAGGCGTATACGAGAGGTCAGCGGTCAGCGATGAAAGGTAGACGGGGGTTATGGGTCAATAAAGAGCTACGTGGGGGCTTCACTGAAGGCTGCAGGCAGGTCAGAGAAGCCGTGAGATTGTTGGAGTTTGCGGTGGATGCTGGCCATCAGTGCGGACCGCCGGAAGGTCAGAGGTCAGTGAGGTCAGGTCACCGGAAGGTCAGAATTAGGTGAGATCAGGTCGCCGGAATGTGGCAGGCGTTATCGACGGTGTTACTGTCCGGTAGGTGGGCAACTGCGCGTAGAGTTCTTAGTTATGGGACCACCGACTTGCAAACTTGTTTTAGATAACTGTTTGGTTCTGTCGATGGGCGGCCATCGACTTATCATGTGTGAAATTTGTGAAAGTACGATATGAATGCTTTCTTATAAAGGCTAGGAAAAATTGAACAATGTTTTTGCAACTATTATGGCTACTGATCGAATTGGATATAGTTAAGCTTTTCTTATTTTGTTTACTGCAGTATCACTGTTGCTAATCAAATTTTCATGAATTTTACGTTTGTTTGAAAGCGTAGTTGAGTAACATCTTCTTGCATAGGCGAATCATTTTCAAGCACCTGATGAAAAGTGCTTTTTCGTTTTCGTCCACTTTACCCAACACTCGCCTAGCCCCCATCAACTTCTGGCAAACCGCTTTCGCCTATAAATAGCTAAATCTCATTTCTATCCAGCCATCGACACCCCGCGTTTCTCACTCTGAAGCTGGTCGTCCTGTCGGCTCCCCTGTGGGATTTGGTCGACGGAGGGTGTCCAGTCGACACGGCGGCGCGGCGGCGCGCGGCGGCCGCGGTAATGGAACAAACACTCGGCGCGATGGCCATTCACGGAGCCCGTTGAAGCGTCCACCAGAGCGGACCGGCTGCCGACATCGACCGTTGGAGAGCAGCCCCTCTGCGCCTCCGGTCCTGCCCTCAGGCCCGCCCACCGCGCCGCCCGGCCGGCCGGCAGCGTCCCTCCAGACCGGCCGACGACACGACTTTTCGAAACGCTATGCATTTTTGAACCGGCTCAATGTGCCCCACGGACTGGATGAATCATTGAAGCAGAGTCGATTTACGGAGCGCATTACGTTTGGCTGAGCCGCATTCAGCTCCGTCAGGTCTTTGATGGGCTGGACGAGTTTAGGAAAATGTCACGTACTCGTTTCTTGGACTAGCGTCGTTGCGTGTTTCAGAAATAGTCTACTCAAGTTACTCGTCCTTACAGAAGCTTCCAGGTACCTGACCACTCACCTCGCCCAGATTGTCATGAAAACGCTGTCCGCTCGTAAGCTAAGCTGGATCCATTTCGTGCAAATAATTTTGCAGTTATTTTCGTGCACTGTACCTTAGTAACGTGTACCTACTCGTGTTTTTGTGACTTCTAGCAATAAGGTTTTGGTTGAAATGATTCGGTGTTCTCGGCGATTGTATTTACTAGTTACTACACGACACTTGCCGTTGCCGACCAAATTCCTGCTACATCTCCAAACCGGGTCAACTAGGAAATTTCGTCTCGAAGACGGTTAAACGCCGGCCGCCGCCCGTCCGTCGGCTCGACGCACCACTTTTTATCGACAGCCGGCTCCTAGATGGGTCGGGCGGATCATAGATCGTCATAGCGAGCCTTCGGGCCGCCCCGCTCGGACGGGAGCGGCCATTAGATTAGTGGGCCCTGATAGTCGGCCTTTGTCTCACATTGCTGTGAGAGGAGACGTCAATTCTGCTCTGAGATGGCGACAGCCGAGACGGGCGAGCTGATCACCCAGTGACGTCCGCTGTCGATACGGCTCGTCTCCGTCCTGTCCCGTCCGTCCCGTCCCCGTCCCCTCCTGTCCCGTCCCGTCCCGTCCCGTCCCCGTTCCCCTCCTGTCCCGTCCCCTTCCCCGTCCCGTCCCGTCCCGTCCTCGTCCCCGACCCGTCCCATTCGTCCCGTCCCCTTCCCCGTCCCGTCCCGTCCCGTCCCGTCCCGTCCTCGTCCCCGTCCCTTCCCGTCCCGTTTACGCCATTTTGTCTCATGCATTGACATCCTGAGCTGCCCCTTTGTAATCAATCTGCGCTTTTTAGCTATGACGGTGACACTTTTCTGTCCTCTGATATATTGAAGACGGCATCGTTCAGGCGGCCCAAGCGTGTTCCTCAGCTGGATCGGACGTCAACCAGGGCTGGGACATTATCTGTGTCTATGGAGTCTGGCGGAGTGGAAATCATACACAGAAGTCACAATATCTGCAGCCTGTCGGGGCTGCGGCTCTAGCGGCTAGAATCATGTTAATCTTAAATACTTCTAAGTAGATAAAACAAATGAAGACGAGGATGCTAAGAGGAATTCTCTACCCGTATCTCCGCATTACATCAGATCATTCGTTACGTGTCTTCTCCGTTTTCTCCATTCCAACTATCCGGGGATCTCAGCTACTACCCGAACCGAGCTTCAGCTGGCGCCGAGAGCTTTTATAGCGGCCATGTCTTACCTCTCGAGGCCTATCTATCAGCCACTCTATGCAGATGGCTCATCGGGCTGGGGCGGCGCCGCCTCTGGAACAGTGGACGCGTCTCTGAACCGGCCGGCCGGCGCAGACCCTGCCGGGCAGACATTACCGTCCGGCGCGGCATCACCAGTATCAGCGCGGTATCAGCGCGGTATCAGCGCAGTATCAGCGCAGTATCAGCGCAGTATCAGCGCGGTATCAGCGCAGTATCGGCGTGATATCAGCCGCGCCGGCTGCTCAGGCGCTTTATGGCCCTCGGACGAGAAAAACGGGCCAATTCATTGTGCCGTGGCCGCTGACAGTCTCGTCCGTCTTACTCATGGCTTTGAATTTCCATAGCTCTCTCGCGCCCGGTGGTGGCGGTGACGGTGGCTCCTCCTCTCCCGCTCCTCTCCCTACCCCTTCCCCTCCCTCCGTCCCGATTCCCGACTCCAAACGGCACCATCCTCCCGCTGAGCAGTGCCATTGGGCGGCCGAAACTGGGCAGCTTCAGCTGGTGCTCAGACAACGCGGATGTAGTTCACAAATGATTCATTTCTTGTCAGAACGATGCTTTGTCTTATCAGGACACATTAATGATGTCGTCGTACGCTGGACATGAGATGATGGCTTTGTCCTTAACTGCGGACGCACCCGTTACTTGGCCTGACAGACGCATTGGTATGTCCATTGCGGGTAACTAGTGATTGTTCTATAGCCGGCTGGTAAGATGTGGCTTCTTCCTCCTCCTCCTCTCTCTCTCTCTCTCTCTCTCTCTCTCTCTCTCTCTCTCTCACTCACTAACTCACTCTCTCTCTCTCTCTCTCTCTCTCTCTCTCTCTCTCTCTATCTCTCTCTCCTTTTCTCTCTCTCCTTTTCTCTCTCTGCTCTGTCTTTTGGTTTCTCTCTCTCTTTCTCTCTCTCTTGACAATGATGCAATGTTGCTGCTTCATATAGAGGCTACAAATTCAAAGATTCACTCATACCTAAATCAGCCATCAGCACTTATGTTGTTGCCATGTTACATAGTAGCAAATACCAATCCTCGACTTTCTTCCTCATGTGCCTTCATCCCTTTCATGGCTCAATTGAAACGACAGCTCATTGCGAGCCGGCGCACCTTTAACAAAGGAAGTCGCGTCGGTTTTACGTCGCTCGTTCTATCCGTCTTATCCTCCATAGTGCTGCGTTGAATCGATGGCTGGATGAGCAGCCGTCGACGCACGAAGGCGCCGGAAGCGGCTCTGATGTATTACAGAAGCGGCAGACCGGGCCTGGTCCGGTCGGACGCTGTGGAGGGGGCGGGGCGCGGGACCTGTGGCGGGGAGGCTTGTAATTCCGGCTACACGATGGGCTCGAAACAGCGCAGCTTGAGTATGATAAGACAAAACTATGTAACGTTAGGTAAAGCTAAGCAGTTTGTGGCAGTTGTTGGTCGACAGTTGTGAGGTTGTGCGGACACATGTTACACGATATCAGTGATGCTACTGCACGCGCACCCGCCAGGGGGGACTGTTTCCATGACCAAATCTCAGAAGTGGTTGTAACGATTGCATTCAAATTTTTTTCCCCGCTAGGGACCGGCAAGAAGGGTGTCCCGTTCCACTCAGTTGGGGTCGCTCTTTCCACATCTGTACGTGCGAGGGTCACATTTTCATCTCAAGAACGGCTAGGCCGAATGCACTCAAGCTGGCGTACCGCTAAGAATCACTATCTACCGTTTACTCATTGTGACGTAGCAAAAGATTAGTCGAGCAGCGTAACTCGTTTGTGTGAAAGCACCCACGTTTCAAAACTAACATCAAATGTGGTAAAAATACATACAGCACTGAATCGCTATTTCCATCGCTTATTTTCCTGCTGTATCCAAGCGTTTTTGTTATCCAATCTCTATTTTCTTCTCCTGGCTTTTGGCAGAGCTCATGCCCTACTTTGATGTTTTCAGCATGGCAATTTCTGCTCTTTCAAAATTTACTGTCTCCGAGTTCCAATAAGCAATTCCACGGGTGGAACGGCTTCTGAGAAATATTGAACGGCCCTAGAACGTGGGCTGGACGTAATCGCCTCAACACGGGGAGAACGCAAATACAAACAACTTTGGTCCTCAAATCGGTCGTAAACGAGAAATCAATGTAACTTTAACATATATCGCTGTCGAACAAGAAAATGAAATGCTGAAACGGAGCACATCAAATAAGTTTTAAATGTCAGAGGATGATGGATTGAGACAGTTCGATAATAAACTGATTTAGTAGTATGTCAGTATCACAGATTCCGCGCCGCCTGACCGGTTCACGCAATCAGGCGTAAACGAAAACTGGTGCAGGTACTCACAAGATAACCGTATTTCTTGATGTTCACTTATTTCATTCATGCTGGCTTTGTTATTTACACGTAAGAGTCGCACGTTCATCCATTATTTTATGCGCTTTAAATCCCCTCTCAGTGCCGGAAATATTGACTCCTTACACCAAAAGCTATACCAAAATGTCTGTCCGCTGTCCATGCGTGGCCCTATGACCTGTTAGTTTTCGTCATGATTCTTCAGAGGTTAACACAACGTAATGCATCGTAATACCTCGCTTAGGAAATATCTTACAAAGTAAACCTTCCTTGACAAAGTTCTCATTCCAACGCTGATGTCACCTTCGTCCGCAGATCTCTTCCACCGGGCGATCGTGATGTCGGGCTCGTCTCTGAGCAGTCTGGCTGTGGTGCAGGACCCGGCACAGTACGCGCTCCGACTGGGGGTGCAGGTGGGCTGCGTAGAGTCCGAGGACTCCACCACCAACAGCGAGCTGCTGGTCGACTGCCTCCGCGAGCAGAGCGTCGAGAGACTGCTGGAAGCGGATGTTGGAGGGTACCAGTTTCTGCCGACGTTTGGGCCCAGCGTGGACCGCGTCGTCGTGCCGGCGACGGTGCGGAGAGGCGCCAGACGCAACCAGGGCAAGGTGTACAGTCTGATGTTTGGTGTGGCTGAGCGGGACGCCTCGAACATGCTGGCCGATGACGACTTACGCGAAGGCATGACGCTCGACCGGCGCGACCGGGTGCTGCGCTCGTTTGTGCGGAACACGCACTGCTACAGCAATGTGGAGATTTTCTACTCGATCATTAACGCATACACCGAGTGGGGCCGAGCGCGGCGCGGTGACAAGGAGCGGCGCGATGAGACGTTAGCGGCGCTCACGGACGCGGTGTTCGTGGCACCCGTGACGGCCGACGCCGACCTGCACGCGCCGCTGGAGGCATCCCCGAAGGACGCCGACCCGACCTTCTTCTACGTCTTCAACAGAGAGAAGAAGGGAGCCCCGTCAGACGAGGTGAGTCGCTAGGAGGGGGGGGGGGGGGGTCTCGACTAATGACTACCTTTCATCACTGTTTCTTGCTATCCACCAGACATGTGCATGGATCCGAGTGATAGATCTCTGATCTCAGTGGATCTCGAAGCAAACTGCGGCTCAATATATGATCCCAACGGATCCAGCATGAAAAACAATTATCCTGGATCTATGATCTCATAGGATCTGACGATAAACCAAGAACATGGATCTATGATCTGATTGGATCCCACAATGCACAACATTTGAAACCAGGTTTCCAATTGTTTTTATGTCAATAAGTGCAACAAAACTATGAATTGGGACGTGCAATCACATAAAATCACTAAAACAGAACGTTTTTGAGTTGCAACAAGTGATTTTGGGGGAATTTTGTGTTGACAAAAAGTAAACGAGGATCTATGATTTCACTGGATCTCAAGCAAAAAATTAGACTCCGATTCATGATCCCTACGGATCTGTCGATAAATTGTAGATCTGGATCTATGATCCCGTCGAATCCGAGATCAAGATCCGCCGGATCAGGTCCCAGATCCATTTTCTCGGATCTAGGCACATGTCTGCTATCCATCCATATAAGATGCCTGCTATAAATATCGGCTTACGCCCACCAAATTCTGAGAACGGCCAGGCCACATGAATTCCCAGCAATCTCGTGCCATGTGACACTGTCCAGGCGTCGGGAGCCCTCTCAATAGAATCTCATTTCACAATATTTCCCTGTCCGCGGTAAGAACTGAAAATAGCCCCGAACAGAGCTGCCAGCCGCGCGACATTATCCCAGGGCTGGCGTGAGGGCCGGCGATGGCGATACTTGCGATCCTCTGCTTGTGTAAACGGCCGGCCCAGCGTGCCTGAAACCGGCCGCCTATGGCTCGTAAGGACCAACATATTGAACAATGTATGCCGATGAAGGAACGTATGGCGACACAAATGGTGTACATGTTTGAAACGGGACACAGCTGTGCAATTTTCCCGGCACGACACGGAACAAGTTTTCAGTTCGAGTGGCTGTGATATGTGTGGAAATTTGTACGTGGTGCTATGAGTGTCGGTAAAATTCCCTTGCAGTAGAATGTGACAGCAGCGGCTGCTGCAAACTGCTTTTGAGGCATATTTCAATGCCAATGCCAGGACAAAATGCACTGAACATTGAAGAAGACATAGACCAATATGGCCTCGACAAGAACGCTAGTGTTTTTTTTTTACTTTCAGTTCAAGCCTGACAAAGCTCAAGACAAAACGTAAGTTAGAACTGAACACTTTTACTAGCCCCTTTTCAGAGCAAGAGAAGGTTTGAGGATCTCTGGTATTCACGCCTGTATTCACTGGTATTCACGCCTATAGGATTCACCTATAGGCGTGAAAATAGAAACGGTGGCTTTGCAGCCCACGCTGGCGCGAAGTCTGCGACCTTGGCAAAGTTTCCGGAGATCGTGTCTCGCTAATGAGATGGCCACCGGTTAAGTGAGGTAGGTCGTCACCTCAAGCGGGTGTCGGAAGCGACGAAGTAGTGCAGGATAGGGATTGACGTACACAAAGTCATCTTTCCGCCTGGTAAATAAACGACGCTATAAATACTGTCTGACTTCCTTTAGGCTTAACTTAATATGAATAACGGAACTACAATGGGTAGGCCGTTCTGGGAAAACTAAATCCAGCCTATTCCAAGTCGAGAACGGATTTCCAGCTGGGAACATTTATTATGCGTTGAGGCTCAGTTTCATTTAACAACTGAAACAGTCGAGGTAAGATGGTTTTAGCAGTGAATTAAATAGGATTTGCTCTAGTACATTGTCACACAACACAAAATTTAAGACGAGTTTCTCGCTGAAATCTGAGACACCTCCTCCATACCGGCGCCGCCGTTTTATCTGCCGCTCAATGGCGGCCGTCCGGTCACAGGACATCCATCCTTCCTCGGTCGACTGCCGGCTGTCGGTGTCGCCGATAGCCTGGGGTGCCCACAGCTGCTCCGCGTCCGATCCATGTTGACCTCGACCCGGGCGACCAGCGGCGGCCGGCCCCGGGCCCAGGTGTCGCTATTTTCTCCGTCAGCAGCGGATTCCGGCTAGACACATCACAGGGGCAGGGCTAGTGCGCTGAGTCACCTCCCGGGCCGGGTGGGTCTCCCCACCGGCGCTGGGGCTGTGTGCAGGTCTGGGAGCAGCAGCTGAGGGCAGAGGGGAGCGCGGTCAGCGACATCAGCGATAGCGACATGCTGACCTCTGTCCTAGCGCGCGCTCGGCGCGGCTCGGGGACACTATCACCGCTCTGATTCGCTGACTGGGCAGCCTGGTGTGCCGGCCGACCGGCGGTGGTCAGCCGCGCTGCTGGCGTGGCCCCCGGCCGCCCACCGCCCTCCAGGCCGACCCCAGCGACGCCCGACGCGGCTGCTCGATATTCATAGGCTTAATGGTGAGGCGGCAGAGGCGGCGCCGGCCGAGCGGCTGGCATCGGTGCCCGGAACTGTATCTGGCCGACAATCTCGGCCCGGGGCCGGCCGTTCTGTGCCGCTCTGCAGACAGTAGCACTCCGCCAGCCCGCCCCGAGGGGCGCTGGGTGCTGGGTAACACCGCCCACCGCCCGCCGCCCGCCGCCGCGGCTCGCTCGGCCGTCTGACCCCAGCAAATGATGCGGAGCCGGTGAGCGCCGAACAGGGACGGCCGCGCCAGGTCTCTGCTATCAGATCCGGGGCATTAGTCGGACGGCATCTCCGTGGATTGCCCCGTGCACGGAGCTGCCGAGATCGATGCTATTGGCGTCTGGGCAGGCCCGTGAGCGCCGCCCCGGAGAGCGGTGTTTTCCCTGTGCCGGAATGGAATAAATCAGCGCTGTTCGCCGACAATGTGGCCCGGCGCCGCGATTTGTTTACACTAGTTTTGTCAGTAGACGAGCGAAGCGCAGCTGGAAGTTTTCCAAATGCTCCTGCATATTCGGACAGAATGGGACGGGATGTGTCGGGTGATTCGATGTGGCCTTCCCCAATCGCTGGTCGATGCGCCCAGCACAGTAGCTCTTACAGCTAATAACGGTGTGGTGTCACGTTGCACGAAATGTCAACCCATAGACCTCTGTATACACACAGAAAAATATTGACACCGTTAGCGGTGTAATTGCACAGTATGTACATATCTGAGCACTTGAGGAAAGTTAATTTAGTCCCTTCCCCGCTTAAATTACTCGCGCTTCCAAATGAACACCAGAAGGTAATAGAACACTGTTAGGAGGGTTGGGTGTTTTACTACATGTAGCAAAACACCCAACCCTCCTAACAGTGTTCTATTACCTTCTTCCTGGTGTTCATTTGGAAGCGCGAGTAATTTAAGCGGGGAAGGGACTAAATTAACTTTCCTCAAGTGCTCAGATATGTACTGTGCAATTACACCGCTAACGGTGTTAATATTTTTCTGTGTGTACAGTCTATGGTCAACCATGCGTCTGGCTTATTGGCGATCTGGGTGCGACAAAAAAAAAAACAATATTTATATCTTGCTGGGTTATTGCCAAATATCAGGACTGATGAACACTGCACCCATATTTGATTTGGACTTCGGTGTGCTATTCGCGAATATAACTATGTAGGTAAGGCGTTTTAAATATTTTTTGATGGCATTTTATTTTCCTGTTAAGTCCTGTTACATACTATATTTTCGGTGTTTGTATTTGCAGTATAACTAATCGCATAGACTGCGTCATATCCAATACCAATGTCATACACTCTATTCCAATAATTGTTCCACGCAACAGCAACTTAACGTTTCATTGTCACCATTGACCGCCTTCAATGCTCTGACCTGACACCGGTACTGTTACCTGACTCTCCCCTCCCGTCCTCTCCCCGGCAGAGCGTGGGAGGAGAGCACGGCGCAGAGATACCGTTCGTGTTCGGCTGGCCCCTGGTTCAGGAGACCACCGGCGCGCCGCAGTTCACTGCTGACGACATCGCCCTCAGTCAGACCGTCATGACCTTCTGGACCAGTTTCGCCAAAACCGGGTGAGTCCAGTGCGGTGTGGGGATCACTGCACTGGTGAGCTGTGGCACGATCCTGTAACAGGATTCAGTAGTACATAGAAGCCTGGTGAAGATGACTCTCATTGAATCTCCTTGGAATGTATGTGGTATATATGGTCGGACACATGCGTGTTTTAATTAGGCTTCACAGTACACTGAATGGAAGAGAGGTAATCCTTGACGCTCGGAGGTAAGTGCTTGTGAACATGCCAGGAAAACACTGAATTCAGAGCAGTTTCATGGTGTGACAGATTTTCAGATGCTTTGAAGCGTTTGAACTTATTTATTTATCGTTATTTTTAAATTTGTAACAATGCAAATGAATCTAGCCTTGTAATTTCAAAGCTGAGTGCAAGAGGACACCGCTTGAGTTAATGAGGTTGGATTGTGCAAATGTGCATCATTAGCAGACTTACAACTGATGTGCCGCGCGACTATCTAGATATGTTGCATACGCATTTGATGTGTTCTCTTAGCCTGTCGATGAAATCAATACCCGGCTGGCGGCAGCGACAGCCAATACCGGTCGTACAGCTGTTATATGCCTCCATAATGACAGGAGCTCGCTTTGTGCCCGCTCGTCGCCAGTTCTGTAATTGGATTGATTGTCATTATCTGTGTGCGATGTTCCCAGCTGTATTTCTATTCTGTTGTGCTGGCGAGGAACAGTTTACGCGATTGTCCGTAATCGGAGAAATTATACTCGTAGAAGGCCTTGTCATCCTCAACATGTCCGTCAATCTGCGGTGCTCAGTCAATCACATCTACATGTATAGTGCTGACCGAATGATTGTGAAATGCAAGAGTCGATCAGAAAAGACATAAGGACGCAGGTAATTTGCAGACGTCCTGTGTGTTGCAGACGTTATTTGCTGTCACATTTTGGCATTTTGAAAAATCGCAGCGACAGGTAAATTGCCGTAACTAGCTATCCAGTGCAATGGAAATTCTTAGGACTTTTGTCAAGGCAGATTAACGTCGAAATTCTTGTCTAAAAAGTGCAAATACTTTTTCAAACTGAAAGATGATAATTTGTGAGAAGGCAGCTCTGCTCACTGCTCAGGCTTTCAGAGACCAATCCCGAATCTGTATGCTGCGCCGCAAGCACATGTGTACTGCGGCACAGCGTTCTCCAGGCGCTCAGTTGGCAGAGCCATCTATGAGCAGAGGCTGGAAGTACAAGCTGCGCTGCGCGTTGTGGTGCTTCGTGGCGCTTTGCCTTGAGTGACCAGCTAACAAGCAGGACTTTGGGCTCTGATTTAGCTAATTCCAAATGCTACAGTTATGTATTGCACTACGATGTACAAGTATGGAGTGCTTATGCTGGCACGGCTAGGGACTAGGGTACTAGAAGGTTGGGAAGAAACCATGGTGATCGGATCTGCAGGAGTCCATTATCATTTTTCCACCCTTCCTTTTTTGAAATTGAATAAATGCCTTTCATCGTGAGACGCGTTAACTATATCAGTTAAAAGTGATAGAATGATATATTTCGCTGATAGCTTTGGCCTTCCTGGCACATGGGCCTCTGCACTGCGACAATCTCACTTTCATACCGAAAGCGCATGAATTACCCACCCGCCTCTCATGCACCTGTTCTGTACTTATGTAAGCCCCACCGTGTCTTATGTCTGCACGGTTCTAGAGTCTGCCGGGTCACATTATGCTCTCAGTGGGTGCAGCGAGGCAGCAGAACGGACACTGCCGCCGTCAGCTGCCGCAGACACACTCGCTGGCAGTTCGTCGAAACCGGCCGCCGGAGCGGTTGTGTAGCAACCAGGGAGTCGTGGTCGCTTTGGTGAGCACAGGAGAGCGTCCTTTCCGTGTTCCGGCTGATACCGGAAAATACTGGTTAGAAGAAGTGGTGCTGGTAAGGGCTAGCGCCTAGCTAGATAATCGCTGGTGTTAATAGAGCTGGATCATTTGATGGTAAACAGAGAGGTGGTAAACCAGTTGCCGATGCTCGGTGTCAGTCGGTGTCCGCCAGTTGGAACTGATCGGCGGTGCTTGCTGGTTGTCAACAATAATTGATTCTCCAAGATACTCGTGACAATTGATAGTCACTAGCTTTGATCCACGAGCAATCCACTAGTGATCCACGGGCGATCCACGAGAACATGACAATCGATGGCAGCTGCCAACAATTTTCGGCAGGCCGATTCGACAAGTCGTACTTCACAGGCTGTTCATCTACTGTGTCATTTACTAAGTGAGCTGCCGCTGTCACTCCAGTATTCCTGCACCGCTGACATGATCTTATCAGCTCCCGCTGCAGAGCACTGAGCGAGCACTCCACAGCCACCGGGACTCGCTGTAAATTCATTTCGACCCGACCACGGCCAAAGAAATCCTGCCATCGGCGCTGGGGCGATAAATTGCCGGGAATTCATTACAGCGGCCTCCTGTTTTCGGACCGATTCGGCTGTGTGCTGAATCGGCAGCCGGCCAGCCATCCATCCGGCGAGAGACGCAAAAAGACGCCATCATTGTCGCTCGGCCGCCGACGAAATGCGATACGCATATGCGACGACAGTGGCGCGGTGCTACGAAAGCGGCGCGCCCGTGACGCCGATGGTGAAGGGCACACTGCAACGCGTGCTGCACGTAATGATCCGATGAGCGAGCGACGGACGCGCTGTGCAACAGCCAACGCCCACGGTCGCCGCCGCGGCAGATTGCCTGAAGGACCGTGGCGTCTGTTTGCCTGCATTGACGGGCGTTATTGCCGATTTCCTCCGAGCAGCCTCGGGCGCTCGCAGCCGCCGCCGCAGCCGCTGCACCGCCGCCGCCGACAACGACGACGACGACGACGACGACGACGACGAATAACAGCGCGGCGGCACCGGTCGGCGGAGCGGGGCGGCTGGGCGACGCGTGCCGCATGCCGATGGCCTCCCGGACGTGTGACCGGTCGGTCCGGCGGCAGACCAACTGTCTCCGGTACGTGACCGGCCGGCGCGGCCCGATGACGACCAATTGACGCGCTCCCTGGCAAACTGTCGGAGGCTGAAGTCCCCGTCAGGTGAAGGAAGCTGTCAGACAGGCTGCCAAACAATACCTATTCTTAACAACGACCATCACAGAAGAATAATTGGTCATTACAATTAGGTGGAAACATATTTGGTAGGTATGCTTTCCATGGATAATTTTACGGCCCTTTGAGTATATGACGTTGATACGATGTTGTTTGTTGAACAATCTTTCCCATGGGGATGTGATTTTTCCTTCGAAAAAATCAAATGTAATAGGTAACTCACCACAACACGCTTCAACTCAGTGTGAAGGAATGCGTAGTTCTCGGCGTCTTCATATTACGCAGTCCTGGCGGAAAATATATGCGGAGGAAGCAGGCAGTAGGAGCGCCGAGGCGATACATTTTGTTCTCATAAGTGCTGTCAGAGTGTCTCGTCTCCGTTTATCTTCTCGCATAAGTGATGAAATATTATCTGACATAAATAGTTTTACTGGTTGATATCGCCGGTTGGCTCTGGCTGCTTCTGGTTACCAATGCGCTGGTCTTCCGCCTTGCTTCGTTAAACATGAACTTTATTCATGCTCTAATTTATAAGCGGTGCTAAAGCACGATTGATAGCATATGATTATCATAGCTTAATGCAATCAGGCAAACTGTATGAAAACGGTAGGTATGCAAGCGCAGATCGTAAACGTGGTAAAATGCCCAAAGGCGCGTCGGCCAGTGCAAACGATCAAAGCTTTTGAGCCTATTGACATCTTCAGCATAAGTACTAAATATCTTAGCTTTTTGGCAGTAGTCAAGAATGCTTTTATACCTTTGTTACCATTTGTTACCATTTGTGTGTTTGTTTTTTCTTGGTGCGGATGCATTTTGGACTTTTGAGAGTCAAATACTGGAGCCTATTTATGCTTTGCGGAGGTATATCACTAGCATGTTTACAGAAATGCGAACTGCGCCAATTAAATACACCTCGATCCATCAGCCTGCGACTACTCGGGACTGAGTCTGCTAATTTCCCTTGCACATCTATATCTGGGCGAGGCGCAAAACGAGGGAGGTAATTCACCGGAAATTACCAATTAGAGCGTCTTAGATCTGAATTGACCTCGATGAACGCCGCTAATAGTAATTTCCTGACTAGGAGTCAACCCAAGATACGTTTGCATCTGGTAACCGGCTTTTGGTCTTGCAGCTGGGGCGGTCGAAATGCGTGGCACGTGCGAGCGGGGGACAAAGCTGGTAAATCACCAGGATTCCCCTCTCGACGCGCCGCGCGAGGAAGACCACGCCTCAGCAAAGACCGGCTTCGGCTCTAGGCGACGGGGATTAGCGAAGTGAAATACGACATGAAAGCTTTACGAGTGAAACTAAATCAGATGGCGGTTTCGATAGGACCCAACAAGCCTATGATAACATTATTAAGAGTGTCGCTGGTCGAGGATTCCATGCGGCACCTTGCTGGCTAAGGCCGATATTGTTATGTTCTTATTTTTTTTCTACATGATCTTTTAACGTTTTTTTATGGTTTAACTTGCTTTTACCTAGGCTCTACCAATGATACGGCCCTGAAACTGTCATTCAACAGAAAGGGAACTTATCACGATCATAGCGTAACAATCTTTGACTCTTGGCTTTAGAACCGTTGTGAAATAAATGTCGGCTTCATAGCTACAATGGCCAATCAATAGCGAAGCAAAGTTGAAAAAAAAACATGTAGGGTGAAGTCGTATAAGAGTACGCACTTAGTGGATTTCTTGCTCTCATTTGTTTAATATTTGAAAGAAAGAAATCGCAAATAGGGAATATTAAAGTTCATTGAATTAGCCATCAACCCATGGGACAACGATCCTTCAGCGTAAATGGAAGTGGTCTAAAACTGACATTTTCTGAACCGCTGCAGTTGCGTACTCTTACCATATGGGGTGTGTAAGAGTACGCACGCCAGGCGGGTGGAGTACGCAAGCATATGAACACACACCTATGCAGCTTGTACTGTCCAAATGCTTAGCTTCAAACTCAGAAGGCATTTAAGTTAATTCTAGTATCCAAAAAGAAAAACATAAAATAAATCTTTCAAGTCTATAAATCAGGAAATAATCATGTGTGTTTCTAAAAAAAAATGCACAATCAAAAGAGAGAATAACTCGTATTTGGAAGAATTTCGGGTACGCATCTGCATCACAGTGCTCCATTGATGATATACCTACAAAACAAACGTCATTGAGCGATAGATTAATAATTTTATCTGTATATTCGATTTAATGTATAATTCTGCGTACTCTTACCCTCCTGAACAGTGCGTCCTCCTACCGTACATGCAATTCGCGCACAAAACAACTCCGAAACGTTGTGCAAAACTTCGCAAACAGAATATTGCACTGCACAGTATTTCCCCAGATAACCTCACAAGTTTCCCACAACAATCACGGAAATGTACCTTATCTCAACTGCCAAGTATCAAAATTATTGTAACATACCATAATAATATCATAACGCTCGAAAATAATATTCATCGCCTTAAACTCAACAGCGTCGCCGCTCAACGCCCACGTTCCGTTGGTGACAAGCACGCACTGGCGGCTTCATGTCACTTCATGAACTCGACAAACCCGCGTTGCTAAGCAACCGAAACAGCTGATGCGTACTCTTATCGCCCGCGTACTCTTACCCGCCCTTACCCTACCAGAGGTCAGTTGACAGAAGGGATTTCTTTCTGGTAACTGGCTTAACTCCGACTGGGTACAGCTGTGCTACTGAATCAATTAATTGTGATTTTTTACTTTATGCCATGTACTCCTTTTTTCTCACTCTGCCTTTTGTAATAATTCGGTTTCACAAATCTTTGATACGTCCTGCCTCCTGAGATTCTGCATGGTTTCGGCAATATCGCGTATATCGCGGCAGCAATATAGGCACAGCGCCAGCCTCGTTTGTTGACAATGCCAGCCACTATGCACGAACATCCCAGCCATCGGCCCTTATTGGATATTGCAATATTTATTGACTTTGAGCAAACAGAACGAAGGTTGCGACAGCCACTATAGTGGTCTTCTTTGTCAAATGATCCCAACCGAGAATTGGCAGGAATGCTGTGATTCTACTGGAAGCCTGTAATACAACAGCTGCTACAATAAGGTGGCTTTTGGCTGTCTATTTAGGTGGAATTTAGGCTGCCTTATTAAACCTCGAAGACACGGAAGGCGCAATATTTTTTCTTCCTAGTTCTACACGCTCATAGTGCTGAGTCATGAGTGTATACCTTTACTTCAGTTATAGGGTGAAGTCACTCAGAAATGACTTGTCACTCAGTCAATGGTTGAAGCCAAGATTATTTCAATTATTTGGAATATCTTTATCAGGCTCGCTTTGTAGTCAATAGGCACGAACTCAGGAAATTTTCCTTGATATTTTTTTCCTCAAATTTTCCTTAACAGAAACATTTTCCTTATAAAGAAATCGACGAGATGCGCACTTGCATCAATTTTAATATTCCCCATTGTCCATAACGGTTAACACCTTTATTTGTCCCTCTTATTTCTAATCTTAGGTTTCGTAATGCTGCTGAGCCTTGGCGAGCCTAGCCATAGCCGGCGTTCTTCTCATTCCCTCTACCTCCCTGTGGTGAATTCCACAGCAGCACGACGACCGGCGCATTCATCTCCCCCAACTAGAGTAGCCATCCATCTGCAGCGCTCAGATTGAGGCGCGGCCGTTTGGCGCTCTCCCTCTCCCCCTCCCACCCCTCTCCGGGGCCGGTCGGAGCTCCCGACACCCTCGGCCCGGGTACCGCGACTGTGCCACCCCGGATCGGTGCCACCGGCCCCCGCCGCTCCGGCTCGTTCAATCTCGACCGGGCGCACGGAGGATGCCGAAACGCCCCCATATGGAAATTGAGACGGAGCTGAGGTGGCGGCCGCCCCTCCCTGTGCCCCCTCCCTCTCTCTTCCTCCCCTGGACGAAGAGAGGGGAGAACGAAAGTCCAGGAAGCGGTAGCTGCAGGATGGCACTCCAAACGTCGGGCTGCTCGTAGCTATTTTCATTAAAGAATTTAGCCGATTAAATTATGTGTTACCGGAGGACTGTAACACACATTTGTCATATATTTTACGGTACCTATCGTAGCAATTGTAAAAGAGAAAATAGGAAATATTGCTCCAAACAGCAGGCTAGGTATTTCTTCCCCTACCTGCGAATGATATGAATTGATGAAGGAAAAAAGCGAGATATATCATTTTTGCACTCTTCTTTGAACCTTCTTTCATATGGAAAAATTCGCTGCAAGCCATTAAGACATCACAAGGCCGGTTAAATAACATTAGCTGCGGAGCATAAGGCTCGAAAAGATCCTTCAATCTCATCTAGGCACAGACAATGCTAAGCTCGAGCTCACGGGCCCTGTGTCAACGTCCGCGGTAAACGGCCCCATTCTATTTTGCATAATTGCATGCCATACGGCGTCGTCAAACCTGATATAACTAGATAAGTGGATGATGAAATTCTAAAAATATGCATAGAGCTTATGCTATAGCCTATTGGCATACGGACGGATTACCGGGATTCTAATGGAGTAGGTACACAAACGTATGTACGTGATGAGCAAGCAAAGAAAATATCTCGGTCACCAAGTTTTTTTTCTGCTTATTTTAGATATGCACAAACTTGTGCGGGCTGAAACTGCACACATTCGAATCATGAGCTATGAAATACAACACCGAAATGAAAATGCTAAGCTCCCTGCTTATCCATTCCTACCTGAACATTGAAGATCGGTAAAATAAACACATGAGAACAGCAAAATCATGCATGGTAAGGAATAAGCACGACTATTTGAATGCGTAATTATTTGACATGGGTGTAAATGTTGTGCTGTTTCAAAATGCAAGTTTCTATGCTCTAGCCGCTTTGTGTTTGAGTTGAAGATTATATTTTCACTTCTTTCACCAACATTGAAGTTGGATCGTCACCGAGCCAGCAAAGGAGCAATTGGTGCTTGGCGCGCATCTCAGCCTGACCTGACTGTCAACACTCAACACATCAACAAATCAGTCCAGTGTTCGCCCCCCGCCTGACGAGCTGACCTTCCTGATTTCAGGGATCCGAACGAGCCACCTGGCCCGCCGCCGGGTCGCTCGGCGGACCCTGGCGGGGGCCGGTACAGGACGACGGCCTGGCAGCGTTACGATCGCACCTTCCGACAGTACATGGAAATCGGTGAGACACCAGCTAACTCAGCACGAGGGGGGGGGGGGCATACATCGATAAAAAAAAAATTGAAAGAAACGGCTAATCTGAGGTGGATCTGGGGAATCATGGTGGGGCTCGCCCAGGACTTGCCTACATACCTCGCTGGCTTTAATCCCGCTGGGTCCACGTCCAGAATTAGGTGCAGCGACATGTTTACCTACAGTGTAGACTGGCTTGGGTCTGGGTGCATGTCGAATACAAAACGACATCGGTAAGTGGCTCGCTCAATCAGAAACTTTTAATGGGGGCTCCACCAGCCTTACTGGTGTAAGATTAGGTTGTCATTTCATATCCAACGGTGCTGAGCTAGATAGAGTTTGAAAAGAACACAAAGTTAAGCTCGACAAATCAGATAAATGTAAAAGTAAATGCGTCCCGGTAGAAAAGAAACACTGTAGTCATATAAAAGTATATTCAGCTTGCTCTCATCCACACCTCTTACGCCCTAAAAACAAAATGAATTAACCAGCTGTTGGTAAAGCCAAGATTTTTACAGATAGGTAAAGCCCAGTTATGCGGTTATGTGTGGTTATTTCACGTCTAGTAACTAATAATGATGGAAAGGTTGCAAAACTTTCCCACTGATGGAAGGTCAAGGTTATTCATTTTCATCCCGTACGCTCGATCAATAAGCATTAGGTAAGCATTTCACAATCCTTGAATGCCTATTCCAGTCATCCATAAAATTTTAGGTACCGACCGTCAAAGAGCAACTAAGAATGGAAGTGCCAAGGAGACTGGCACCTGAGAGCTTTCGATTGCCGTTTTCCCCGTCTTTCTACGACCATCGGTTCGGAAGTTAGACAGGGGGGGGCAGAATCTGCCCCCTTAAAATGCCCCATCCCTCACTCGATATTTCAACCTCTTTATGATGCCAGCCTACGAATGAGTCTTCGGCGGCTGTTGGTACGTTACCAAGAGGCACTTCAACCGGTGTCAAGTAGAGGTCATTCATGGAGTATGGTGAAGCCTTTCCATTCGCTCTCGAATGATGCCTTGGGAATAACGCCTAGACATTTTTACTTAATATTTATCATGCATTGAACCATGCTTTCCTGGTGCTCAGGAGGTCTCCACTCCCCTCAGCTGTTTCCCCTGCCTTGTCAGCTCTGCTCTCAAACTCTCTCGGATCCTGATCCGTGCTCCACTCGTCATCGTCAGTGCGTTTCGCAGCCGGGCAGCCGCCGCTTCTCTGCGCAATTTTCAGAGACATCTCAGTATTCCCAGAAGAACCCAGCTCAATTATCCCATCCTGTTAAAGCTGTGTCGGGTGATATTTCAGCCATCCGCCGCTATCCGTCCGCTCTGCTCTCGTCTGTTCCCCGGCCTCCGCCGCCGTCTCTCGGGCGGTACAGAGGACGGCCGCCGCCGCCGCTCGGGCGGTACAGAGGACGGCCGCCGCCGCTCGCGGGCGGTACAGAGGACGGCCTCCGCCGTCTCTCTCCGGTCCATGCAGGCGCGCCAGCGGCCGCCGCTGGGCACCAATGGGCTCCATCGAGAGCGCATGTGATTCCCGGAGGATTTCCGAGGGCTTACTGGCGGGGCAGGCTGAGTGATCGGTGATCACCGATACCGACCGCCGGCGGCTCAATAACATTCAATGAGGATGAATTAGGAGACGTGACTATCTTCGCCCGCAGCAGTTGTGTACTGATTGTATCAGGCGATGAAAACAGAGTATAGCTTGAAGGTAGCTCTTGGATGTGTGGTAATGTTAGTTAGCCATAGCATAAACTCAAAAGTGAAAAGAAATCATGCTTTGCTGGCGTTCCCAAGAAAGGTCTAGAGTTTTGTACTCGTAATGTCGGAAGATATCAGAGGCCAAGATTTCCTGAGAGCTGTGGGCATATTAATAAATATCTCATGTTTAACTTCATGAACACGGGATATGGATACTAAATATATGCCTCTAATTCGGATAAACGCCTAGTTATTTCTTAATTACATACATATTCCGAATAGCAATAATTCTGTTGGTAGGTAGGCATTCCCTATGACTCACTCTACAAGGCTAAAAGATTGCACTTCCTCTTGCTCCTGGCTTTTAGAATGGTAATTGGTGACGTTGATCAAATTTCTGCCTCGATTGCTAATGTTCGTATTCTCTGAAACAAACATTAAATAATTAATGCAGGCGCTGGCATTATTCGCCCCCATCCAATGTTAAATGCGAGCCGAATAGCATACACATCAGAATGGAATCGCTCCAGCTTCATTGCCGAATACGCCGAAAGCTCGAGATGCCGAGTTTACCTCACCAATGGTGACCGAGTGATTGACCGAGTTCAGTGCGCGTTGGCAGCTGTGATTTGAAGCTCTCGGTCAATGGCGGCGCCGCTATCCGGGAACGAGTCGACTTGGCCAACTAGAACAGATCACCGGTCTAAGTTGATTGAGTCAGACGCTTATCTGATTGAAACACGCCCGCGTATCGCCGCTCGGCCCAAAGTTTGACCAACCACTTACTGTATACGGGACGGAGAGCAATCATGTCGGCCGCAAACTGCAGATCGGCGACAATGGCTGGTAATGATGGGTGGCGAAACTGAGCTCGGCCTTGTCCGCGAGGTAACACGTCTTCAAACAGTGTTCAGCGAAACACTGAACTTTCTGAGGCCTGAGCGTAGTTGAGCTTGTTGAAGTTATGGCTTTTGTGCGTTTGACGCAATGATCAGTCCTCTTCACGCCCAGCAGCTAAAATAAGTAGCTCTGTAATTAGGTATATTTTAGGTAATTGTGTTTTAGACTAATTAGGTAAATACATAAAATTTGTGACCTTTAAAATGGTCCTCAGGTGATGGGCCATGTCAAAAGACTTTTGTTTTCAATCGGAAGAAAGATATACGCAAAGTAAATACTTTTCCCACCGATAATGATGGAAATTAACTTATGTATGGCTGGCATAAGCGGTCTTATAATGCCCAGATGGTTCAGGCAGTAGAGCAGGGGTCGGCAAATGGTGGGGCATGCCCCCTTTGGGGGTAATGGAGTCCTTTCGGTGGGGGTAATGAGGGATTCTGAGAAAGCCTATCTTTTTAGAGTTTGTAGCTCCAGTGATGGAGCCATCGTGACTGTTGCATCCCAGGGTTCAAAGATTAGCCCAGGCCAAAGGCACAGCAGTCAGCACACATTGATTAGATACCAATTTTCACGTACCTGTACGCCTCACCATCTCACCCCTCCGTACCGTCGTACAAAAGCAGCTGCAACTTTTGACCGTCGCCCGTCTGTTGGCGTTTCAACAGCCGCTAACGTAAGGGGGAGGAGTCGATCGGACCCCCGCGGCCTCTCGGACTCTGATATGGAGCTGTGCATAAAAAAGACGAGCGTGCTACCCATGACAATAGGAAGCCGCTGCTGCCCATTTTTAAGGTCCTTGGTCATTCCGTCTCATTCAAGAGGGCAATGACAAGTGTCGAGAAAATCGGGACCCGCTATAACTCCTTGAAGTGAGAGTTTATGGCACAAGATGATCTCCAGAAAAAGCTCATAAGCCAACGGTCATTATGGGTCCAGAGGCCAGTTTTACCAACAGAAAAACAGCCGCCTGCCGGAATTTTTGCCTGAAGATCGTTTCACATATGGAGCGTAAACGGTACAGCCCTATCCGCTTACGAGCCCATCGCGTTTACGCTCCGTATGTGAAGCGGTCTTGAGGCAAAAATTCCGGCAGGCGGTTATTTTTCTGTTGGTAAAACTGGTCTCAGGTCATGATATTTTCCGGGCTGGTAAAAAAATATGATGGGCTCGAGGGTACAATTTGGTCGTGATCCAATGCCTTTTACGTGAGCTTTTAACGAAAAACCACCCGCCGCCCCTACGTACAAGGGTTAACCCGGCAGTTGCTTGGGTATTTCGCCACCCACCGTTTGCTGGGGGGGGGGCGTTAAACGCCCCCAGCCGATAACTCGAGAACCAATAGGCGCAGCGAAACGCACGAGGCGGCAAACGAAAGAACGCGACGAGACGCTTCAGATGAGTACTTTAAAGTTGAATTTTGAGGTCACAGGTCGGGTCAAGGTCAGGTCAAACACCTGAAATTGGGCTTTCAGTAGCATGGACTTCAGGACTTCGCAATGGGCGCCTCTCGTCATAAACTCTGTCAAAACGGTGCATAATCCATCATATAAGGCCTACAAGAGTGTCAGCTCCATGTAGGGGTCAGTCAAGCATAGGTCAGGGTCAAGGTCAGGTCAACCGGGTAGGCACATATCCCCGAAAATCAAAACTGATATTCGCAGCCTGTGACACATGTTTTATGGGTAATTTGGGGCGTAGAACACGATGGTGACATTCATTTTATCATATGTGTACGTGTTTGGCTCAAAAAGTTCAATTAAAGAAATGCATGTATCATGGTCATGAAGTAGTCACGAGAAATTGCCAAGATTCAGTTCAAGATTTTGGAAAATGCGGAACGATAATCAATAATCGAAGATAGCCATGTGATTGCTCATGGTATTGGCAGTCTAATGGCGTTTACGGCATGTCTGTATGTCTATTCTGTGATTTTATATGTTTTTTTTAACATATGTCGTTTTTGGTCGAAAACTCAGAAATCATGACGTCACTAAAACCTCGATATCTCAAAAATTTTCCGACCGATTTTTTCGAAACTTTGTCACAATAAATTTCAATCAATTCCCTACAGGTACCCAAAATTTGGCGCGCCTACGGCGCGCCGTTTTTATGGCCCGGCGAAAAAAGTGGGGGCGTTTAACGCCCCCCCCCCAGCAACTCGCGGGTTAAATGGGATATAGCATAGGCGGCGGAACGGGAAGGGCACAGGGGCACCGTGCACCCTTTGATTTTTGCATTTTAACATTAGCCCTATGGGCGTTGCATGGAAAGAATGGGACCAAAAGTCAGCAGTGCCCCCCCCCCCTCCCCTCCCCCTTAATGGAAGGTGTTCCGCCGCTACTGGGATATAGGCATTAAATGTTTTGTGGAGGAAGTGTCATGTTTTAAACTTGATGCATTGGAAATGCACAAATACCCAAAGAGTTCCAGGACGGTATGGAATTTCAGTAAACTTGGTTGTGTCAGCAATGAGGTCTGGTAGGTGGGGGTAATGACCCTGCCTGGCGCCCAAAAAGGGGGCACGACCCCGAATGACCTGCCGACCACTGCAGTAGAGGGACGTGTTTTCTTGGGGGAAATTGCTCACTCCATCTGTCTCAACCGGTACTTTTTCTCGCCACCCCTGCACCTCGACGGCTGGCCCCGCCCAACCGTTCCGCCTACCTCCCGTGCTGCCGGCATGTCTCAAGCGAGTCATTTAAGTCGGCGTGAATCGATGCTAATGTCTACATTAGCTAGGAGTAATTGCCGCACGAGCCGCACGGCCGGTGGGAGCGGCGGCGCCGCCAGCGGTGGACGCAGTACGCCCCACGTCAAATCGGCACCGCGGGGCCCAAATGTGACGCCTCTAATTAAATATGCTAATGAGGGCAGCCAGATTCGGTGACGGCGCCGCCTAACGAGCGACGAAATCGATATGACGCCAGCCACACATGCGATTTGACGCATTTGGCAACATGCAAAACGGTGACGTTTTCTGAAAGTGGGAAGGGAAAGTGAATAAAACAAACTGGGCTGGGGAGGGTTTGTGTCGGCTATTTTTGCACTGCATATCGGCCATTTGTCAAGTCTGTTAGAAATATTGTCACTGTTTTTCTTGAAAACTAATATTTTCATTATAACAAATATCCAGGTGTGAAAGTGCGTAGTACATTGTTGCTTTGTATGTCCAACTTGCACCTAATAAGTAATGCCAACCACCCGATCAAAATGCAAGTGGACCATTTACACGTGTTGTCTCTTTAACCTTATCCCTCTGTTGCAGGAGACAACCCGCGGATGCGCAGCCACTACCGAGCGCGTCAGGTGGCCTTCTGGAACGAGCTGGTGCCGCAGCTGCACGAGGCTGGGGAGCGCTCCCGGCGTCCCGAGCTGCAGTTCGAGGACACAGGCGACGCGGCGCACCTCTACAGCGGCCCCGTGCGGCCCTCGTGCTCTCAGAGTCCGCGGGTGCGTATCGTGACGGCGCCGCCGGCTACCGAGCCTCCGGCCACCACGGCGGCGCCGGTGGTGACCACCAGTGCGTCAGCGCCGACCTCGCCCGCCCCGGTTACCACCCAGAGCCTACACACCATCTCCCGGAGTCACGAGCGGGGCGCTCCGTCCGACGACGGCTGGACGTACTCGACCGTGCTCAGCGTCACCGTCACCATCGGCTGCTCACTGCTCGTGCTCAACCTGCTCATCTTCGCCGGCATGTACTACCAGCGGAAAAAGTACGAGGAGTCACGTAAACGGTTCCAGAGCAGCGCTCAGCCGAGCACGGTGAGCCTGGACCTCGGCCAGGGTCAGGCACCCGGACCGGGCTCGGTGTCGGCGCGTCGGAAATCGGTCGGCAGTGGCAGCGACTGCGCGGCGTGTAAGAGCGGCGGCGTCCACCAGCATGGCAGCCTGGAGTCGGGCAGGCAGACGGCGCTGCCGCCGCCCAACGGCGAGCTCAACTTCGCGGTGCCGAAGCCGCCGCCGCCGCCGCGCGGCAGCACGCTGACTCTGCCGTCCTCAGAGTCGCAGCCGCTGCTTCTGCACCACGCCAGCGCTCCGCCGCCGCGCCGGCCGCCACCGGCGCTCGACGAGCTCCGGGTATAGCGACCGGCGCGCCGTGCAGCTCAGACCTTTTTGTAGTGCAAATTTTTCGACGGGTGTGCTGCTGAGCGCGCGTGCGTTTGTGTGCGGGAGACCGACAGTGGGATCGGACAGAGCCGGAGCCAAAGACAGAGGGGTGGGTGTTGGAAGCATCAGGGGAAGTGGAAAGAGTACGCCGTTGTGGAGACAAAGAGCGGCGTATATGAGGCGGAAAGAGCTGAGGCCGGGCGAAGTGCGTTGTCCGGACGGGCGGAGGAAATGTGCCGCTATAGATGGGTCACGGTGCCGGAGACAATCTGACGACACCACGCCCGGAATATCCACGTTGTCGGCGCATTGTGTTCCGTTCAGGCAGAGCCGATTTGTCGAGGCTCTGCCATATGGTGGGCCACCTGTTCTTCTAGCCATGTCTTTGGTGCTAGGCGGTGTCAAATGCGTGTGCACATTGGACCACTGTGCGGTATCTACATCACTCCATTAACTCTGGACAGTCACCTCCTGTATTAGGGGAGCGACTGGTCGGGGACGGAGGAGAGGGTGCGTTCATCGCTCATCTAACTCATTCCGGCACATATAGGATGACACGTGAATGGAGGCGAGCGTTGATTGTGTTGCGTCGTCTCCTAGCTTTCCGCCATCCCTCTATTCTCAGCTGTGACCGAGCGGCAGCGGCCGGGGAATCTGCGCGGCACTGCTAGATTAGGAGCTGTTCTCTCTCTATCTCTCTCGGGCCGGCCTTTGTTTCTGTTTTTGTGAGTGTAGGGCAGTGGCACCACCAATCCAGTCACATCGTATAGCTGTTAGTTGTAAACGCTGTTTACGGGACATATGCTCCCCCAGGCTGTGACATGAAATATTGGAAACTGTTTTTTGGAATAAACACAACTGTTGTAGTTCACGCTATATCTGTGCTTGTGGAATTTCAAAAGGGGACGGTTGTAGGTAAACGCACGCAAAACGTAGCGCGGGCTCGGGCTCGTGACGGGTTCGGGGCTTGGGACCGTAAAATATCACCCAATGTTAGCAAACTTACGATGCTTTATCTTCAACACTTTGCAATAACGAGCCAGCTGAAGCCCTCAGCCACAGTAACTGAACCTTTCTGTCCCGTCCTCCCTGGGTCAAGGTCACAGGACCACAAGATCACGTGACAGGTCAGCTGGGACGGCGCGGCGCTCCACTCTCCCAGTCGTTAGCAGGAACTACGCCAGTGTGTGGGGTACAGAGAGGTGAATAGTAGGTGAGCTTTAAATGCCAAGATAGGAATTCCTACACTAGTCAAATCGAGCACGCTGCAACGGAAGAACTGCTAGTACTACATACCAGAAGAATGTGCTGAAAAGCCGCAACTGCCATAGCACGAGCCACCACTGCAATTCACCAGCCATCGAAAGGTCAGTCCAGCTTTGAGTGATTGCACTGTTTTCTGCATTGATGTGTACTATTTCCCGATTTCGATGATTCGGTTTCGGCATGCGGATTACCGTGCCATTCTTCTTTGCTTCACGCATGGCGTTGTTGAACTACTACGCATTTCAGACCCTCTGGAACAGTCCTTTTTGGCCCTTTCTCGTTACCTATACGCTTGATTTCAACCAAACTTTGACACAATGTGTTTCAAGGGCCTACTTAATTTTTACTAATATGGTCTTTTAACAAAATGTCAAAATGAAAGGCACTTGTCGTTGACTTGTAATGGTAAAAATTGATCGGAAAACTCTGCACCGTGGTAGAGGCTAGCATGGCGTTGCAGCGTCAGCTGTTGCGCCGCAGCTAAGCTCCGCCCACTGTGCCGCGACACCGGGACCGGTCATTCGCCGCTCGGGGTCAGAGCGGTGCGGAGCTCTGACGGACTGGAACGAGACACACGCTAACGCAGGCATCATTGCGTGAATATTGTAAATGTCGTATCTCGCGCGGAGAGAATAAGGATGAAGAATTCAATGCAGATCGCGACGGTGTATGTATAAAACAATAAGCACTCCTAGCTACAGAATGTTATTCCCTATGCAGACTTAAAATAATCTTATTTTCAATAATTTATAGCGAGCCTCTCCGCAGCCGTTTTCCTACAGGCTATTGTGCATTTAAGGAGTAACGGGACAGAATTCACCGGACTGTCTTTGCATTCAACGGCCTTATTTAATTGAAGATATCCACATAGATACTTGTAGGTATTTCGTTTTTTTTTGTTTAAAAGAATAACTTTTGGGGGGGGGGGGGTGAAAATAATAGGTAAACCTTTCTATGACATTTCCACAATGCTTTCAGAATGTTGTTGATAGATCTTAGGCCCGAAAAACAATAAAACAGGGAAAAATATAGGATGACTCAATCTGAAAATGTAGATATGCAATATCGAGAGTTCATGATCTCCCGTCCTTCACTCCCCCTTGTCAGTCTCTCGTCTATACGTTTATAGTATATTGTCTCTCGTCTATAGCCTAATCTCTATCTTCGTCACTTGTCTCTGGTCTATCGTCTTCGTCCCCTGTCTCTGCTCTAGCGGCTACATGCATATTGTTTGTTGTCCACTAGCCAACGTTTACCGTTCGTCTCATTGTCACTTTGTTTCCTTTTCCTTTCTCTTTCTTCCTCCGTCCTTATTTGTCGTAGGACGACAAATAAGGACGGAACAACAAATAAGTTCATGACATGCAAACAAGTGCTCCACTCCGCTGCGCTGCGTGCGCGGCCCGCACGCCGGCCGGCCGGACTGCGACTGCCGCCGACATGACCCGAGGCTGGACCGCAAGTGGGCGGAGCCAAGCCGCAGTGTGCTAGTGCGTCTCGACCAATCAGAGGGGAGACAGCGTCCAGCCTGTGTCAGCCTCTAAGCAGGGCTCTGACGACCTTAACATTATCAGTCAATGACAAGTGCCTTTACTTTTCATTTTTCGTTAATAGACCATATTGATAAAAATTAGGTAGGGATCTCAAACTACCAATGCCAAAGTTTGGTTAAAATCAAACGCATATACAACGAGAAATAGCCGAAAAGGACTGTTCCACAGGGTCTGAAACGCATAGTAGGTCCGTCAATAATTCAAACTATGCAATTTTTAGCGGGTGCAAGGTATGCGTTCACAGAAGGATGAAAAAACATCACGATATGCATTCAAAGCTCCTGGATTGCATGCATGATCAATCCTTTGATTCATGCTCTCATGTGTTTGAAAGAATCGTAGAAACAATGGGCTCAAATTCTTTTACATTGGGATTGATCTGACCATAGACCTCTGTATACCTCTGTATACGGTAACGGTATACAAAGATCTATGATTTGACAGTTTTTACCGGTTTTTCCGTTGCGCCACGCACCCAGTGAAAATAAAGTAAATTACTCCGCGGCGACCGGACAATAATCCGGGCAGAAAATCGCCGCGGCCCGGCCACAGTCTTCATTTCCTCGTTCGCTTCCGGGCGGCGGGCGCCATTTCACTATAGGCCGGCAGCCTGAAAAAGCGCTAGAAATTCCCCCAAACTGACTGTCCGCAATATGAACAAAATAGGTATCATTTAATCCCAAATTGATCGAAGAATATGATTCCGATGCTAGTTTTGCCCTAAGGTCAAAATTGAGGTCGTCAGTTGTCACCAAACACAAGACAATTTAGACTCTCTATAGGCCACCACATTTACCGATTTTAATGATGAACTTTAGTGGTAGTTTATTAGTTGACCAATCGTCGTTTTGAACGAAATTTCCTGTCAGACTAGTTCAGGGCACTGTTGTTCACTGTGCCAACATCATTCTGACATATTGCATCGCTTTTCTGCAAGATAAGCTAGCTGTTTGCAAGCAGCTGCAAGACGTAATTTAAAATCGTATCCAATTTTTTAATTAGACTTTTATAAAAACGTTATTTCGAGCGGCTAAAAATGAACATTTTATACTAGCCTCTGATTACTCATCTTTTGTTCCATATAGGTGCTTTGCTGCTTTTCCCTGCTACTTTTCGAGATATGCGCCAGTAAACCACATGATGTAGGGGCAATTGTCACTTCGCCGCTCCACTGAAGGCCCGGCGCTCTTTAAAGCGCTGGAAGTTGTGAAAAACAAACGCTTATAATCTAAATAAAATATATGTCCCTGAGCTCAGAATTGATCAACGCACACAATGCTGTCAACATTTCTGGGCCAAACTCAAAAATTCAGTCATTATTAACCCCTAAACACAAGTCAGTGATAATCAACAACAACTTGCTCTTTAGTTAGACTTTTTGAGAAATGTTATTTCGAGCCGCTAAAAATGGCCATGCCATACAAACCACCAATCATCTTTCTGTCATGCCCTACTCGCAATTTTTGCTAATGCCTGCTACTCTTCGAGGTCACGTGACCTCACCATTAAAAGTGAATGGGGAAATAAGGAAACTGTTGTTTTTGCGCATGGAATGATTTCAAACTATCTCAAGCATACGGAATCGTGATTTCGTGCACTCCTTGCAAGATCCGATGCTTTACTTTTGCATTTTTTACCTTCCGTGACGTCATTTATGACGTCACACCGGTCATAGGAGTTTCTCGTCAATAACTCAAGATCAAATTGAGCCAGCGACTCGGGAAAGCCACCAATGGACTCGGGAAGACCTCCCGAATCGAATGATATGCGATACGACCTCCTTCGATTAAGTTCGTGGCCTGATGGGCTCTGAACTGACCTTGACTCGAGGTCAATACCTTAAGTTGACCTCACCCGAACAAAAAGTATACCATTCGACGCGCCTGAGCCAGGCGAACACGATGGTGCCAAAATCGCTGCTCTGCGGCCATTTTTTTGCGAAATTATTTGCCAAAAACCAAACCCTACCTTGGGCTTTTTGACTTCACATCAGAGGTTACCGGTTGACCTGGGACCTTAAAATCGGGTATCAATCGTTCCGCCTTGAAACGGCGCACACGCTTGTTTTTTCCGCGAGGCTCTAGCTCCATTAGGGGCGAAACGGCAAAAAGGGGTCGTACCAACCCTCCCCCCTCGGCCGGCCGAGGGGGTGGGGGGTCCGACAATAGGTCCGGCGAGGGTTAAGCAGCCCCACTTCGTTTTTAGCATGTTTGCTTGTCACTGAGATTAACAACTCAATCACAAATAATTTCTAGCACTTTTCCGGACCCCCGGCCCAGTGTGCATTTGGCCTATCTCTGTCGGCAAGCTGGCCGGTCGCCGGCCGCGCCGACCAAACAATGGTCGGCGGCCGACAGAGCCGCAGAGGCGGCTTTGATTTGGACGCCGCTTCGAGAACTCGCCACCGGAAATACGCGATTGCAGAGCGGCTCCGGCCGTTCGAGGGGCACATCCGAGCGGCGCGACTAAGCGACATAAGAGCGGCCTCGGAGAGATTTCCAAAGGCCGACCGAGAGACGGTCACCCCCTGGCTGGCTCAGCTGAACCCGAGATAGGGTGAGCTTTGTGGGTATTTATTACGAATTATGTCCTAATTTAACCAAGGTATATTGACGATCAGCATAACAGAGAAATTAATAACCTATAGATTTATCCAATTCTGTTATGAATATTTCACCTTATAATGTAACGTATTCGTTAAACTGAGATAGGAGTTAAAAATATCGCGCTTTCAGCTAGGACCATCTGTGAAGTGTGGGCTAAGCACTGCAAGAAAATTTGGATAGTGTCGCATCCCGTTCGCGAAGTGCAGTCTTACGCCGTGTTTATATAGGGCATGATTGATTTCAATATTTCTGGTATTGCATGCAACACAAATTACACTTGCATGCAACACAGATTACACTTTCAGTTTCATGCACACAAATCACAACAATGCATTCAATGCAATATGACCATTCTTGAGCCCGACATAAAACTCGACATAAAACGACATATGTAAAACAGAGTCAGGACCTGTCGCGGTAGTCCAACTAAATTTGAGCCTGGACTTCGCGCTCACGCTGGTTCTATGGACTTTTAATTAAAGTAATATCCGACCAGATCCTGAGCTTTTGAAATACCTAATCATTGTGCAAAATTTGATATTTTCTGTATTGGCGCTTCCACGCTTAGAAACATCGTTCAACACTATTCATTACATTATCTGCTCTTAATATCTCTGCAAGGGAGAGGGATATGCACTAAGTACAGCCCACTCTATATGCCGCCTGTCGGCGCTCTGTCTGAGGCCGGCGCACCATCTGACCCCACATCACGCGCTCGGCCGGCCTGGACAGCACTTGATCCTCGACTGACTCGAAACGGCTTTCGCACATCGTCTGATCGGCGATGATTAACATTTCCGGCGGCGTTCAATCTGCATGAGGTCGATATGTGACGGTTCCCAGTCCATTGAAGTGCTCCCTGATGGACGGACGGCAGATTTCCGGTCGCCAGACCGACGCGCTCGTCTGTACTTCCGGCCGTCTCGACGCATCGAGAGTCGG